TGACGATATTGAAAGTACACATTATACAGGGTGTCTTAGCTAACTTGATCACCTCGAATAATGAGTTAACGGTACACTTTATGAAAATTTTGAGGCGTGGAACTTAAATGGCATCAAGGGGCACATCTTATAAGGTACGTGCTTTTTAGGTTTAGGATTTTTTTAACGGAATGACCTATTTTTTGTACCATACATCGATAGAGTATCAAATTGTGAGTAAAAATGTGTTGATCTTCATACGTCCTAAACCTAACCTAATAGTTAACGACATATTTACAAAACAATTACTGTAGCTATAGCTTCCAGATAGTAAGTACGTTTTCAAAATTCTATTTATAAATATCTCGTTAACTATTAGGTTCGGTTTAGGACGTATGAACGTCAACACATTTTTACTCAGCATTTGATACTCTAACGATCTATGGTGCAAAAAATAGGTCATTCCGTTAAAAGAAATCAAGGTGACCCTGAAATCTCTGGAATTCCTCCAGCCACAAGAAAAGCACGTACTTTATAAGATGTGCCCTTTAATGCCATTTAAGTTCCACACCTCAAAGTTTTCATAAAGTGTACCGTTAAGTCATTATTCGAGGTGATCAAATTAACTGAGACACCCTGTATAGCTGCGCCGAACAAGAGAACGGATTATCGGCGGAGAAAGCGTGTGTCTAAATGGAGCCTGTTAATTGATCAGTTCCCAGAAATTTAACTCTATACAGCTCCGAAATGATGAGTTATCGAGCTTGTAGTGTACTTATGAGCGATAGTGTACTTAGGTTATTGCGCAACAGATAGCACGTATACTATTATTTTCATTGTAGGGTTGCAATTTACCGACTAGGTCCCGTATTAAGATTAACAAAAAGTAATCTCGTATTTCTGCAGTAAATGATGCTTTTTTGATTTCAATACAAAGCACTGCTCGTAATTAATAAATTATATACATCTTCTGAAAGTTTACACTTCAATGTATCGTTTAGATAGAAAACCATTACGATTGTGTTACATTTCTTTGAATTGACCTTACCTAAATCCTCGATAAATGTTCGAAGGCCCCTCGGCACTGAACATTAAATATTTCGTAAACTAATGGCCACATGCGGCTGAAACGAATACCATTGGCTTTAGAATTTCAAGCTCTATCACTGTGATAAATCTCATTAAAAAGTCAGTGTTACACCTAGGGACCTTTCCTTGTCAGTGCCGAGGGGTCTTGGAATACTCATCGGGGATTTACTATATTTTGAAAACGAGCACAAAGAAGGTGTACTTTCGAGCAATTATACTTTTTCTTATTTCCGTTCGATTACAACAGCATCATCGACATTTACAGGGAATCATTTTTTGTTGTTTATAACGTGCTTCAACACTTTTCAGAAATAAAAAAGGATAATTACTCGAAAGTACACCTTCTCGCTACTTATTTTCAAAACAAGGGCAATTCAAGAAAATTTAACGCAATCGTGATGGTTTCTGTTTTAAACGATGCGATATGTTTAACTGTCAGCTTTCAGAACATGTAATATATTTTATTAATTAGGAACAGTGTTTTGCATTGGAAAACGAAAAGGGCATCATCTATACTACAGAAATACGAGATTACTTTTTGCCCAACCTAATACCACCTTATCCTCTATACATAGTCAGCATACACGTTGTTACGAATTAGATTACATGATATAACAGAGAAACTCGAAACACTAATGACGAACTCGTCCCGACCTCTCCACACATAATGTTATTTCCGTATTGTATAATTACAGATCCTATAACTGTCACAAGCACCTGAATGTTATTACAATTAGGTCGTAACATATGAAATGTCCGTTTGAACGTTTCAGATGCTTCATCTAAATTCTATCAAGAAATGTATCGCTCTTTTGTTAATGTCGAAGTTGAATATCAATCTATGCTCTTTTGTTTGAAATAATGTAGGAAGTTCTTTAATATTTTCTTTGCAACAGTACAATAAATACGCACGGTATTCAAATAATTACGCTTTATGAATTTAACCTTGATCATTCTGTAGAAAGTTACAAGTAATATTAATGTAGCTTCTGGGAGGGTAGTGCTAATGAACCTATTGTTCGTTGTTAGTTTTCTAAATTTTCTTCCGGCAATACCAGTCGTGAAAATGAAGAACGGGTTAGACCTGCGAAGAAGACGAGAAATGAAGATACGTAAATCTTAATTGAAGCAGATCCATACAACTGGCAAAACTTGCTACACGAACTGATACAAGTGGTATGACAGTATCAAAAAAATTTCAAAAAGATTGGTAAAATGAAGAAACTCCAGAAGTCGACTTTGTATGAACTGAAAAGAAACGGATATTTCATACGTTACGACCTAATGCTTATATAGAGTGAGTGACCCGTCATAGTCGAAGACCAAAGTTAGAGTCACTTCACCACTTGAAGTTAAGATTTGTACACTGTGACCCATAATAATAGAGGAATCCATTTTAACCTTTTGCACTGGAAAGACGTGCTACACACAACGAAATTACACGCATTTGTGACCTGGCTGTCAGCGTAAGTGGTTAAGGATCGCTTCAGCTCTTGCAAATAATAATAACGTCTATTTGACCTCGTTTACGAGATAACGCACGCTACTAGACGTCTTATCATCGATCTTGTAATCGATGATAGGTACTTGTAAGTATTACTGGAATTTGATAAAGACATTCTTCAATTACGTAACACAGTATTTTAATAGTTCTAATAGGTAGTCTGTAAATAATGGATTTAAAATGTCCCTACAAGTAAAAGTTCAATAGACTTGGTGGACTGAAATGAAAGGTAGTCATTTTTAGCATCTCTTATGGAAATAATTAAGTGCCGATTAATTAAACTCAAATGTCGCAGTATCTCACGAATAAGATCAAATAGAACGTACATTTGTACGAACTTTCTTTATTAACGTACTTTCAAGTACCAATCTGTCTCTAAAATGGGTTCCACATATTATGGGACTTTCATACCCACGGTTTGTCTAAAAGGTTTCCGACTCGAAATTAAAACAGCAATTTTCTGTATGATATTCACACTTTGTATCAGCAAATATTTAAAGTAATTTGCCTTTAAAATGATATACTGTTCATGATAATTCTACAAACATTGAAAATAGCTCTAGTAATTCTTCTTCAAGATATGGGGGAGAGTAATCATTGAAGCACTATGAATGTCAAAATGATTTTGGATTGTCGTTTTTTTGTCTTCGTTTCCAACTTGAATAACAGGAATTAGTTGAATGTGATTTAATTAGACAAAAACGGTGAATAATCAAACTGTGAGATACCTATTGAAGCCAAAAATTTCGACCGTCGTCCATTCTACCATCTTCAAAAAAGATTTATCAGAGCCATTCCCAGAGTTTCTATAATTATTGTAAACCGTATATCTCTTTAACAGAAAATTATTCTTAATATTCGGTAATAGAGAGCATAATTTTTTTACGAATAACTGCATTTTAATTTCAGTTCGGAAACTTTTGAGACAGACCGTGTACGAAAAAAAAGTCTGTTCCTCTGACACAATGCTAGAGGCAACTCCCAAATCTTAGGAACCGGCACAGAGTTAGACGACTGAGTTTTTTTATTGGTTTACCTAGGTTTGTTATGAGGTTACTTTAGTTACTGTAAGGCTCGATGATTTATGGATCGTTCATTAAGACGGTACAAGTGTTCGAAAACCCAGATGAGCTACGTGTCTCGTTACAACGTGATGTTTCATAAAAACGTTGTTTTTACCGATGTTACATCTGTAGTAATCAAGAATGAATATCGAATTACATAAAAAAGCTACACTACCCTAACCGAGCAATTTTGCAATACCCATCAGATTAAATAGATTGTCTTATCAGAAGGTGGTTATTCGTTTAGATCGTTGATATGTAAAATAAATAGGTTAGTCTTTTAATAAAGAGGATACAAATTTTATGTATCTAAGGAAATGAAATTATCCACGAATGTGTGTAAGTTGTGGAAAGAAGTCGAATTGCGTTTTCATTGATAAACTGAAAACTATAGACTGCAGTTTTACGCTTTGAGGCGGCAGTAACTTTTTAAACGACCTAACTATAATAAAACATCCATTCTAATAACATTTTTCACAAATATACTATAAACGTTCACGCGAATTCAGATTTTTATAAATTAATTCTAAAGGAGAAATTGAATTGAAATCGTTCAACTAGTTGAAACAGAAAATAAAACCTTTATTCAATTATAAAAAAGTATTTCTTTAAAAACAATGTACTGAGTTACATTCACTACAAATAAATAAAATCCGCGATCCGTCAATGATAAATCTCGTCAGTCGCTAACAAACACGTCAGTCTTTTACATCAGTCATACCTAAAATTGATTTTTTCGAAAACTGAGAGTTCTGAAAAAAAGCAGCTCCTAAAGACCTATAAAAAAAACACCTACTGAAGATTACAAAATTGGGTACGTATAAAATGATCATTGTAAATCAATTTCTCGCTCCAATCAAAAGTTCGATGGATACCCCAGCAGTTTTGATTTTCAGATCTCAACTCATGTGCTTTTTTCTATTGATAGAAATAAAAAATAACTGTAAGAGAAACATTATTTCCATAAAGTTGAAAATGTTCAAAAAGGCTGCAACCGATGTTGGTAAACGTAACAGAGATAAAGACTTCGAATACGGCTTCAAGCAGTGGAAAAAACAACCTCATTAATGTATCACTTCTCAGTGAAACTATTTTCAGGGACATTATTTTTACTGTTAAATATGTGTCGCAAAAATAATATTTATAAATACAGTCTCATTATTTTTGGTACGGTCCACGTAAGATTGTCGCAGTTCATAAAATTAATGAATTTTGCCAAAAATTATAAAAATAGCCTAACGTGAGAAATCTAAACAGAAATTGAACGTATCATTCATTTGGTGTTACAAAATATTTAACTGTCTTAGGCCACGTTCATAATCACCGGTACATTTATAGAATTGAAAATGAAAGACAAAACTCACCTCGATTCGCGACGAGGACGCTTCTGATGGGTTTGTACTCCACATCGGTGCTGAAACATCTCGATGAAACTTTGTACACTTGCAGCACATTTCTGTACTTCATCAATGCGAATCTGGCTTGCAGGGAATGCATTTTGAAAAATGTAATTAAAACACTGTTCACTGAATCCGTGCACTGGGGTTTTAAGAAAAAAATTTAACGATCTCTCATAGAAATGCTCTCGTGCCCGTTCAAGAGAATTGTTATACACGAAATGTCAGACTTTCTTGAAAAACGCGTACGTTAAATGTAGAGGTGCTCACGTATGAAACTTTTATCGAACTGTAGATTGACACTGGCGCTTTTTGTGCTCGTTAAAAAAAATATATCTTTTTATTTTCTTGTCACGGAACCGAACAGTTTCGACGGAGAACTCGTCTTGATCGGAGAACACTATTGCGGGACGAGTTGGTTTCTGTTACTGCACAAGGCTCACTGACTTCGAATGGATCCGCTAGAGTCGAAATTCGTTGCTTATCGGCAGGCCGGCGTAGTATGATTATCGGGTTTCTGAAACAAATGAATTTAAAATTCGAGGTCAGTGGAACATAGTCTTTATCGCGACAAATTGAAGAATTCATAACAGTGACTATAAGGCCCGATGCAGACGAGCAAGTTTTGTTCTGCGGTCATTTCTCGCGCGTATCAGAAGTACACAGAAACAAAAACATATCAGGAAATACACACGAGCGGGTTTATACGCGGCGACGCCTCACGGCTCGCAGCAGGTGAATGTCTACTGTCGGATATCGCTGGCCCGCTGTGACAAAATCTGCACGGAACTTTTATATTCAGACGAGACGACAGAACTCGCTCGTCTGCATCGGGCCTGATTCGAAATGTAATCAGTGTGATCGTAAAATATTTTGTCGGAGATGTTTGTATTGCCCGCAGTCTATAAACGAAAGTAATGTTAAGGATAACAACATCTTATAAACCTAGTTTCATTCTCGCTACTGCTTTGTGATTGATGGCCAGAACATAAACGTGGGGAAGACAATTTTAGGCGCTTTATTTTGTAGAAAGGAGTGCTGGGTAATATTTGTGTTATTGAGAAATAAATTTCCAATGGTAATCGAGAATGCGATTTATTACTTGAAATTCGTTTGTTATGATAGAACCTGTATTGTATGAACTTCTGATGTTCGTATAGATACGCTTTTCACGTATAAACAATGGACACTGTATAACACTGTTCACGTGGAACCATTCATTCATAATGAACAAAGGTAATTTTGTTCATAATAAGTGGACTGTGGACCTTTATGCATTTACATCATCTCGTAATTTGTAAAATGTAATTGAATAAAGATTTTAATAGAATATGATTCTATTTATGTGTCTTTCTTAATATAATTCTAATTAATGTTAATTTTTGTATATTAGTATCTGAAATTTTGAATTGGCATAAACTCCTACTGTCTAATAATAAATTAAACTGAAATGAAATAAATAAAAAATAAAATCGAGACAAGATACACGAGTTTAACATAAAATTTCTATAATTGTATGGCGTCTGGGCCGTTATGATAATTAGTGTGAAAATATTCTTGATAAGAATGTTAAAGGCATGCTTTGAAAAAGAATTAACAAGTACGGTGATCTTTTGACTCGTATGATGATACCGTAAAAATGTTAATGTCTCCCAATTAAATATGATAAAATATTTGTAGCACAATACCGTAAAAATGTCAATGTCGCCCAATTAAATATGATAAAATATTTGTAGCACTTATTGTTAGTATGTAATCTGAAAATATAGAGTAATGTTGACATTTACTACGTTCCATGAAGCCAGGAATGCGTATCTTGATATTAAAGAATTTTCTTCTTTGAATACTTATACCCTTTCACTGATATATTGTATACATTTCAATGTATTGCAGAAAAATGTTCGTTAAGTTACTAAATCTCTATTATTATCGTAAATACAGCGAATTTTGTCGCACTTCTTGTATCAGCATGTCAAGATAATTCGTTTAGAACACGAATCAATACGGATTAAAATTGACCTTGTAAGTTCCAAATCATACTTTCATCTTCGTCGTATCGGTTGAAATAATTGAACACGCGTCGCATACCAAATTAATATTGTGCGACTAGTGAAAAATTTTAAGTAAGTGGGGACTCTAAAACGAGACTACAAATTGTTATTTTCTTGATGTTATTTCTATTAATTCTCAAGATTAACCAATTTGAAAAGAATTTTCGGATCAAAGTTGTTAAAATATAACGAATCATTGTTCGTTATAATAAAGCGTTCGTTAGGATTAAATGATATTTAAGTTCACATAGAATAAATTTTAATTTTTGTAAACTTATGTATTTTATTGTATGTTGCATTACAAAAATTTTGTGCCCTCTACCTCCCCCCCCTTCACCCCCTGCTTTTCAATGAAGGGGGCCCCCGAAGGTTTAATAGCCCTGGGCCACAAAAAATCTTAATCCGGGCCTGGTTGGAGCGCCTTAAGAAGTCGCATTTCCCCCTGCTTGACGAAAATCTTAGTCGAAAGAGTTTCCTAAATTATAAATTATGATATGTTGGGTCCTGAATAAGGAGGAATCATTCTTGGATGTTCCAGATTGATGCGGCAACGGAAATTGAACGTATTTACGGTCGTATTGCTCCACGAGAACTGACGGGCATGGGGCTGACTGCGGCCCCAAGAAAATCAATGTTTTTGTGCGATGCCCATAAGATATCCAAAGCGTGGCAGATGTGGATAAGTCTAAGAGTTGCTACTATTTGAACAGTGGCGGAAGTGTAAAACGAAGATTAACGGATTTTAATTCCGACAGACCACACTGAGTTATGGTAACCTAGTCCATCTGAAAGACACCTGGCATTTTTGAACGGTAAAGGGTGGGTGGGTTGTTAGGGTTGCGACGTTTTATCAAAAGATAAAAAATACCTCTCTGGGTTACGCCAACTCATGTATGGTCGAATCGATAGGATAATATAGTGTGGCCTTTGGGAGCAAAGATACGACCATATTACTCATAATAGTAAGACTTTCTGTGCACTCCTATCGCTGAACATCATCGTCAACACAATGTCATCGTCTGAGATCATACTGGACCTTCGACTCCATGACTCAAGCCCAAAAGGGCAGTCAGCTAAACCATTAACTCTTCGAATATAAAAGAACAAACACCTAGCCTTGGGCCTCAGTTAATTTCCTACAAGCACAAGCACGCGAAAATACTGTTTCTCTCCTTGTAAACGATATTCAAGGTTATTTTACTGTGTCCGATTTAATAGGTATTACGATTTTTATAATATTGTAACAAATGTGTAGTTGTTGAAGCATGGCTTGAGTGTTTGTGACTGCATCATTCGTTCACATACAGTTACATCAATTCTCCTTATAACAATACAATATTTTGTCAATACAATAATTTTTTCTGCCATAATTAACATACGCTATCACAAAGGATGTGTATTCTCATGTTCCGTCTTACACTATATCCCTAGTATCATCTTAACTACTAATAACTTAAACCTAATTCAGATTTGAGGGTATTCAATAATAACAGTGGCATAAAGTTTTATAAGGAACATAAATATTAAGTTAAATAATTTTTTTATGTTAAATAAACCCATTAAATATGTATCATAAGAAAATGTTACTTGCATGTCGTAATAAACGCACATATATTTCACTTAAATTCTTGTACAGTTACTTGGACAATTAAACCAAAAATTGGAGTGAACTTTTTCTCTTGTCTTTAAAAGTGATATCATGTAGAGTGTATTTATAAAATAGTTGTTGAATTCAATAACGAACAGGAACAAAAAGATAACACACTTTAAGAATGACTCAATTCCTATTTATTAAACAATGCAAATTAAATTCTTTATACATATTGAAAAAATTGAAATATAAATATTATAGAAATTCAAAGGGACAAAGTGATAGCATATTGGTCAAAAAATTGAAAATATGAACAAATTAATTAAGGGTACTCAGTGTTTAATACTTTGTAGAACCGTCTTTACATTTAATGACTACATTCAATCTTTTTGGCAAAGGTTTGTACAATTCAATTTTTATAAAAATGTAGGACACTGTCACAGAATAGACTCTACATGGCACAGACGAAAATCAAGAATAACGAAATTTTGTTCGAGGTTTCGTTTCAAAGTTATTAATTGTTGAAAATACGGGCGAAATACGAGCAAAATACGTCTAACATGGCAGATTATTCTACTTGAGAGGCGCGCTCTTCAACTGTTTCACGAGTTGATTTCATTCATTTGGTTTTATTTCATTTATTTTAACTGGATCATCGATCGATCCCGTATATCAGCTGGGAATCAACCCTTCAAGTAGTATATCCCATCGCACCACACGTACTTCACGCGTATTTTTCCCGTGTTGTCAACAATTAATAACTCTGAAACGAAGCCTCAAACGCAATATCGTCACTCTTGACATCCGTCTTAATTTTATATGTAGAATCCACCCTGTGAAGGTGTCCCACATTTTTATTAGCACCCTGTATACTGTTCAGGCAAGATATATTCAACAATTCTGAATACAGTTACAATCAGGAGATCTTGCTGGCCACTTAGAGAGTTCAATTTTTTTAGTCGAAAAGTACTACTTTACTATTTTCATAGTATGGACTGCAGCATTATCGTGTTGGAATACATAATTAATTCCAGCAATTGTTGTAGCATACGTACGCATTTGTTTATTAATCATTTCAAGATATTTATTGCTATTTATTCAGTCTGTAATAAATTTGAATTCCATTTTACTATAATAACCAATACCAGCCTAAATCATTACACTGTCATTCCCCATTTTACGGCTGCTCAAAATTGTTATTCTTTTCTTAAATCATGGTAGTAATTAGTAATTAAGTAGTAGTAATTAAAACTATGTATCAGGTCCGTCTAAATTAAATTTTGTTTCGTCTATAAATGTGACACAGCGTAATTTTTTGTTCATGTGTATACATATATTTGTTTGCAGTATAAATTATGAATTTTGTTAATTCTGAAATATATCCATTGTCTAATTTGCATTGTTTAATAAATATAAATTAAGTCATTCTTAAAGTGTGCTACCTTTTTGTACCTGACTGTCTAAATATATAAACAAGAAACTTACCGATTTGTTTAAGAAGTGGCGTGAATTAAGTTCTTTAAATTATAAAGAGAAAAAAAAAATTTAACTTCACAACAACAGCGTTAATGAAGATATTTGAAGAAAAATTTTATAAAACAAATTCTATTCTATTAGAATTAAAGAAAATTCAAAGAATCTACTTCGTCACTCTTGAAGTCAATCAACTCATATGGTAGTTGCATGCTGTCGCACCGTTTCAATTATTCCCACTATGTACATTTTTTCATTCAACCATTACATAACACTGTTATTACGCAGTCGTGTGTATTACGAAATATTTCGGAGAATATCTGACTGTTGTCATAAATTCTACGATACGAACCACAACTGTCGCTGAACATGAACCGGTTATACGTCTAAAGAGTTGGTTGA